TTTGTAGACATCATCCCTTGTTTCCTTGGTTTGTATTTTCTGTTCACCCATGGCTGGTTTAATCACATCCACATCTCGCTGGGTAAACTGCAAACTCGTTTTTATCTCCTGTGTTTCTCTGGTCATGTCGTCGAGTCTCTTGTTATTTGTCTCCATAAGCAGTTGCACAAAACCTTTGAAGTTGTCTTGTTGTTGGCTCAACAGTGCGGTGTACATCTGCTTCTGCTGACTCAACATCTCTGTTACTTGCGCCACTGAAATATAATCCTCTTCTGCTTCAAAATCCTCATTCACTTCTGATTTATTAGCTCTTTTCCCTCTTGGAGGCATTTTAATAGTTGTAGAATTTGTTCAAAGACTTGAAAATGTAGAAGATGTGAAAAATCGTAGAACAGACAAGAGGAGCAGTAAAGACGTCTGCTCTCGCTTGCAACACGGAAAATAATAATACAAAAATATATATTTGTCATATTCAGAAAATACCAACAACACATGCAACAAACACTGGCATACTCTGATGTGCTGACCTATTTCATACTTAATGGGTTATCAAGTTACCCTTTTTGGTGGATTATAAATCAGCACCCTTGGCAAAGGCATAATTGAAAGTCAAATATTCAAGTAGCCTTAGTCAGTTCATCAATGATTAATGCAAAAACAGGGTGCTTGAAACTGAGTGTACAAAGAATACAGGCAGCACTGTGCAAAAGTCACTCCGGAAAATGTACTACTAAAACCATTTATCAAAACACTGTTTATCCCTGAGGGAAGTCTTTAATTGTTTCATTAGTTAAAATCACACTGTAACATTGAAGTAAAAAACAAACAAACAAGCACAGGTAAACCTGAAATAATTCTCTATAGTAAGTTGTCATTTCTTTTTCATATGGTGTCAAACGCTAAACAATTTAGTCCAGTGGCACAAGCTTTTGGCACACTACTACATACTGTCGTATACAGTCCTAAAACAGTATCTCATGTCTTATATAAACAAACTCTGCTTCGATAAGGCAGGTGCCAAATGAAAGATGTCTAAAAGTAAAATAAATACTAAACAGTTGGTCTAACTGGTATGCATGTCCATAATGTGCATGCAAGCACCAACATGTTTACTTAGGTGAAGTGCACCTTGGGTTTCCTCCACAGGATAAACCTTTGTGAAGTGAGAATGTGTGTGACCACACTCAGCAACATCAGGAAGATGGTCATTGACATCACTATCACATAGTGACTAATGCTGTAAGAGAGAAAGACATATGCAGTATTTAACATGTTTATATATAAGTGTGCTTCAAAGACACTGTTTAAAATATTGGCTGAAAAAACTAAGAAAGAAAAGCAACAGTTTATGTAAATGTTGTGTCTGATAAATTGAGTGAAAGCAGGGAAGGATGTGGATGTGGTGTATCTCAGCCTCACTGCCCCCCTCCGTGACACTCTGCTGCCCACAGAGCTCCTGTTATTTCAGCTTTTCTAAATGGTGTATTCAAAGTAAATAAATGATTTAATTAGCCTTGCTTGCCACCTAGTCAAGGTTATAAGAGGTGTTTATCAAACTGCAAGTAGTCATATCAAACAGATAGCCTTAGCGGATCTCTTGGCAGCTAAGAGTTTGAAACTATGGCTGCCAGACTGAAGAGGTCATGTTCTTTTGCACAGAGAAAGTGGGACAAAGAAAGAGCAAAAACAGGGTTAACATTGGTTTAACTTCTTAAGATGAGAGCGTTAAAAGCATCCAAAAAAAATGAAAATTTTATTCAGATGTGGCATTTTTCTTCATGGTCGCGTTAGCATCTAAAACTGTGTTTGTTGTGTTAACATTAGCTACCTAGCATGGTCATGATTTTGCCTTTGTATTTCATTAATGTAATTTTAAGTTTGGTGTAATGTTAGTACTTTGTGTCACATTAGCAGTAACCAGGGTGTTATATGGACTGCTAACTTTATTTGTTAGTCAGTTAACACTAGCTTCAGACTGAATGCTGTATTTTGTAATCTGTCATGTCAAGGAATCAAGCGGCAACCTCAGAGGATAGGAAGCCAGTGCTGAAGTGCCAAAACCTGCAGTTCCTCAAATGGCCGCTTGAGGCTGGCTCCAAAAGGGAGTTAGTCCCCACAGACTCCCGTGTTAAATTGCCCAACTTTACAGCAGAAATAAATATGTTTACAGCCTGGTGCAAAAAACTGTTTTGGTCTCTATCCATCTTTTAAGTGTGATGTAACTTCCAGAGCCAAACTCCCCCAGATTCAAATGGCAGAGCCTGTCATCCTCTACACAATCGGTTTTTTTAAGCAAGGCATCACTGAGAGTAAAAAATGACTATGTTCTTAAGATTCAAATAGAATAGTCACTGATGTTTATATATATAAAGTTATAACCCATGTCTAACTTGTTTTTAATAGTTCCCAGCTTTTACTGTTATTTTCAGTGCAAAATGTGTCAATGTATAGCAAAATTGCACTTCAGAAAACCTGTGGGTGATGTCACCGGTGGGGGGTTTGCCCATCTTTTATATACAGTCAATGAGTTTACTCAGTCACAAAAAAAGAGGAAGTGATGGGAAGGGCAAAGAGTGGTGAGGAGTGGTTTATTGTGTCAGTTAGTTCTGAGTCTCACAGGACCTTCTGAGCTGAAAAGAAATTAGGTAGAGCAGGTTTAACAAAAAGCTAGAAACCATCACTTCCCAGATAACTTACCTTGTGCCAATGTCCAGCCAGCTGCCATAGTCTTGCACCAGGAAGAAAAAGTGCTAGGGAGAGATGAGTGAGTTAAAGATTTATTGTGTGAGGTTCACATTCAGTCTTCTTAGGATAATGTAGAGAACAAAAGACATATAAAATGCCTTACTAGAGCCATTAAATCAGAGATGACCAGGACAATAAGGAACAAACTGGAAAATAAGAATAAAAGAAAGGAACAAAGGCAAAAAGCATTACAATCAAGTAACAAATCACATTATAACATCCACAACAACTTTAGCATTTACACAATAAACCAGACATAAGAAATAAACTTGTTGATGTTAGTCTAAAATACAACTGGCTGTATTAAATAAAAAATTGTGTTTAGTGTGGCAAGTGAAAATACTTTTACCTATTGGCAAGTGACTATTCACACGTACTGGACATACAGTAGATCAGCCCCACAAGCACAGTGAAAGAAGATGACATCACTGATTGGAATCTTATTTTAAAGGCCACAGAAAGGGTTTACCTTCTTGATGAGAGCTGTGTTGCAACTTGGATGGTCTCAAATGTACACATTACTATTATGAATGGAATGATAACCTGGAAAGGACAATTTAAGAAATGTAGGATTTCATTAACAGATCCAGAGAAATTTAGGTCAGTATAAGATAACAGAAGAATGGCACGTTAAAACCCATTTAAGCATAGTTCCCTGACAGATGTATGAATAGATTACGATTAGGCACAAAACTGAATGGAAGCTTGATGATGGGAAATCAACAGACTGAAACACACACAGTAAAAAAAAAAAAAAAAAAAGGTTTATAATTCGGTACCTTCCACATCATCAGTCCTCCCATGATGAAGGGGTTGAACACAGTCAGGAAACAGTAAACAGATGCTGGGTCAAAACTAGGCAAAAGGAGAAAAAGTGGAGGAAGTACAACAGACAAATGCAAAATTATCAGAACTTTCAAATGCTCAGAGCAAAAACTATGTATGGGTACATCCAAGAGTTTTTCAGTGCAGACTGACATACTGTATGTGGTGAAATGTAAATAAGCACGCTAAGTACAAGACAATACACAGTGCAAATAATTTACAATATGAATTATATTTCATTTTACAGATCACTTGTTTTCTTCCTGTAATCAAATGATGCATGGTACCATCAGTGAGACTCATGCCAGGAACTGAGAGCACTCAGGCTAAACCATGTATAGCCACATATCAACTTCCTGCCATTTACCACACACACACACACACACACACACACACACACACACACACACAAAGGCACACATACCTGTTAATTGAAGCTATGTTCCCAGTGCCGAAAAAAGCTGTTATTATAAAAAACACCTGAATAAAATGAATAGTCAAGGAAAGAGCAAAGGCAATGTTCATCTAGCCAGTTCATTATTTGCAATTATTCACTTCAAACATCAAACTATTTTCTCTTAATTTGAAAAAAGGACCATCTAATTTGATATAGTATGGCCTGAGCAACAACGCCAGACTCTACTGAGAAAGAAGCACTACTTCCAAACAAAGAGGTGCCACTTAGATATTTTTTGAGCTTTAACAAATGTCACTGTTGCAAATACTGTTACATGGATACAAAAAAGTAAGATCTTCTGACATCATCCAGCTTCAGTTGGCGGATGTTGGTGATGTCAATCTTTGCAGAGAAATCAATAGTGGAGAGCTAAAAAAAACAAACAAAACAAAACAATAAATATTCAAAGCATGCCTATACACATGATTAGACACCCAAACACATGATAACTGTCTGAGAACCTACTGTATGTACATCACAGTATTTAGAGCTTTATGTAAAGCTATGTCACAGCTTACAATATCTTATCATGAGAAAGGAGTGTCTTATTTGTTTGATTAAAACATTTTGCATTAAAAGAGTGGGAAACACTTAAGACAAGAAACAGAGGCTAAATATCCAGTGTGTGTACACAATAGCATTAGAGCCAATATAAATTATATAAATGACTTCAATAAATGGACCTCTAATTAAACATACACCTATTTTACCTCTTGCCTGCTAGAGACACCCTGGGCAAGCACAGCTTCCTGTTCCATGTTGAGCCACACAAACATCAACCAAGATAACACAGGGGGGAACAAGGCCTCTGACCTAGGCGGAAAAGGGCACACACATTAGAAATGTGATCATTTTGTAGCTGTGCTGTTATGAAAAAACGACATGATAAATCTGCATGATACATGGTTATAATATCATGTCTTACCCGGTGCTGAGCAGTAGGTATGTGGCTGTGAGCGAGAGGAATATACTGAGGAGTCGATGGAAAAGACGTGTAGAGCTCAACAATGGAATTAGCATAGAGGATGCTGAGAAAAGGGAACAGGAGAAGTACTTGTATGCTGGATATTCAAGGTAGAAGTACACACGCCAATATTTTAACTTAGTAAAATTAAAACATGCTGTAAATATCTGATCAATATTAGAAAGTGAAATACACTGATCAGCCATAACATTATGAACACCTGCCTAACACTGTTTACATAGGAGTCAGTGTGGTAGTTTGTTGGCACTCGTGTCACTCTGCAGCTCACTGTGCATCTTCTGTGAATCCACTTGCTTCCACAGTTCTACTGTCAGGAAGAGCACAGATGTGTCTACAATTCAGTGAAAAACATATGTAAAAGAAGTGAAAACTGTGGTCGTGAGGACGAGTTAGAGAGAATTGTTGAGACACATTCAACAGCCTCACCACTCTAGGTGTGATATCACTACTACAGCCCCTGACTCTTTCTCTTCATAGAGACCAATGCACAGTGTTTCTCATTTTCAACCATTTTAACATAGATTGAAATAAATTTTAATCTTTTGAAAAGTACAAAGTTAAAAGTTTAATCTACAGTAGGTCGACCTCATCATCAGTGAGCCGTAGGTGTCCATGACCCTGTCGCCAGTTCACCATTTACCTCACCTTAGACCACTGTTGGTAGGTACCAACCACTGCAGACCAAGAACACCCACCAAGACCTGCAGTGTGGGAGATGCTCTGACCCAGTCATCTCACCATCATAGTTTGGCCCTTGTCAGAGTCACTCAGATCCTTACACTTGTCCATTTTTGCTGCTTCCAACACATCAACTTTAAGGACTGAATGTTCACTTGCTGCCTAAAACTGTCCCCACACACTGACAGGTGCCACTGTAACAGGCAGTCAGTGTTATTCGCTTCACCTGCCAGTGGTCATAATGTTATAACTGATCGGTGTAAATAATACATACGTACATATAATTATAACCTGCCTGAGAAATTCTGAGTTGTTGAATTTGATTCTCATGCACCCTGTTCTCATTCACACCACTTGCCTAATGTGGCCCAGCTGATGAGTTGATTAAGAAGTGGCAGGCCCTGTTTGAGCTGCAGGCTGGAGTGTGTGAGGTACGGCACGTACGCACACACTGCCACATGGAACATCTGTTGAGTTTGACAGGCAATACATTTTTTTAAATTTTAGAATATACAGTGACACAAGTGCAATTATGTACACAAACACACAACGTGGCAGGAAGTGTAGTAACCTGGGTGACAAACTGCTGTCTGTCATAAAGGTGCAGCGGTGTTCTCTGTCGTGATGACCACAGGTAACAGGCTGAAGTGAAGAGGGTGACTAGACCTGCACAGGTACTGAACAAACAAACAACATGCTATCTTAATATGATAGACATGTTCACAGCATACAACTTAATTTTACACATGTATGCTGATTAGCAGTTTTTCTGAATGTGAATCTCAGTCTGTGACTCCTTAAACAATCTAATTTCTCATCTGTTTTTGTTTTTTTGTTTTTTTTTCTGGAGAATACATAAAGCACTTTGGCCAGACAATCAGTCAGTGAAAGGGAACTGCAACAATCTGACATATTGTATTCAGTTTGCTTGTTATTTAGGTAATGAAAGTAGCTGGTGCTCCAACAGACCAATGACATGCAGGTTACTGTATGCTAACTGGTGACTCTAAATTGTCCATAGGTGTGTATGAGTATGGATAACGGATGAATGGATGCATGGATTGTGATTAAAATTTCCTAAGTATAGACAAATAAAACGTGTTCTTGTAACTAACTGACCTGGATCTGGTCTCTAAATGTGTCACGGTGACACACTGTGGTACAGTGTCTGATAAATGTAGGCAAATAAAGGAAGCACTCACACCAGATGCATGTTAGGCTCTCTACCCACAACAGGCATCAGGGGGAAAGCAGCCAAACACAGACAGCCCAGAAACCAGCTCAGTGAACGGAACTACACAGAGACAGAGACAATCGAGTTCATATAGTAACAGTCTATGTCTTTTTATAATTTAATAAACCAGGCATTTAATCTGAGAGTAGACTGTTGATAAGGAAGCACAAGAAAGGTCACAACAAGGGCAAAATCCCACAACAAACCACTCTGTTTCATTTAAGCATTTATTTTTAATTTAATCATTTTATTCATATTGTTGATGTGAATCCTTTTATGACTTGCTTCCAAGTATTTACATTAATGAAGTATAGTTAGTCTTTAATCAAACAATAAAAATGTTACAAATAAGGATGGTGTTTATGCAAAAAAACAAACAAATCAATACATAAACAGTCAATCTATTTGATAATTTTTATTCCACTTTCTTCAGATTAAGGTTATTACACATTTGTGTCAGTGTAAATAGTTTTTAACTTTATAAGGGTGATTGGTTAGCAGATAATGTCAGTAAAAATCTGCCATGGTTTTTGTGGTTGGGAATTTTTGTGTTTACTGTTCCTTTAAAGGAAACTCCATCTCCTCTTCCCAAACTCCCCGGAGATGCATGTTTTTCGTCCCCTTTTCAGGTGTGGTAACCAAAACATTAAAATAGCATGGCTTTTCCTGTTGTACTGTGACTACAGAGGTCATGTTCTGTGATGTAGTTACCTTGTTCTTGTCAAAAAGCCCCGAAAGGAAGGGCCAGAGAGAGAGGACAGTCAGGCCAACAGTCAACACGGCACGGTGAAAAAAACTCACCACCTGGGGGCAGCAAAGGTGGAGTGTCACACACAGGACAGGGAGGGCTCATACTGTACATGATACATCCTGCACAATATGAGCAATTTGTATGTGTATTTTATTAGGAGGTTAGCTAAAGGCTTATAAGAAACACTGTACTGAAGCAGAAATATACCTCTAAATATACATTACAAGATCTTAAAGACACCTACCAGTAGCTCAACTCCAAATGCCACCAGCAGAAAATAGCCTAAACATTTCCACAGTGGCAAAGAGGGAACTGAATGGATCAAATCTGTAAGAGTTCCAGACCTAAAATGGATCATTAATGAGATTATTTTTCTTGTAATAAAAGGGGAAAAGGGAAGAAAACTGCAAACACTGCCCTTTTATTGAGTCTGAATAGATACAGCACCACTTCAAAGAATCTAATTAACACCTCACTACAGCTGCATGAGACGTGCATGAACAAGAATGTTTCATGGAGATCAGAGCCTCCAAAAAAGAGCTATATTCACTGATTGCTGTGATCGCCACTGATGTGTTTTGACATTTGCTGATATCCTGTGTCTGAGTGTGGTGTTTGCTCTACCACCCTCTGAGAACAGCCCACAGGCACAAAACACATTCGATTAGACTAATGCATATGTGTTCCATGTTTTTATCTATTTGACATTATCTTGAATGAGCAGCATACTTACTCTTTAAGGACAGAGTACCACACAGGGACAGGCAGCAGGCAGTAAATATAGTAGGTAACTGGGCTATTTAGGATAAGCAGGAACACGGTGATTACAACTGTCACACAAATGCACAACCTCGCCAGGGTATGGCTGGGAATCTGCATGAACCCACAAACAGAAGCATTACCAAAATTGTAACTTAAGAAGACATTCAAGTTGTATACACTTGTTGTGATACAAGGAATCCAAGGAGGGATTATAGAATATGCTCTGACCTGTTTGTGGAGATTGGGACATCTGTTTAGGCCGGTGTGCATTTTCAGTATGACTACGATGACATATGAGATCCAGCCTACAAATCCTAGCACCACACTACAACCCAGGAAGAATCTGTCATAGGTATGGTAATAAACTAGGCCTTTCAGGGCATGAGATATAAGAAACTGGCACAGAGAGATCTGTCAAAAGACAAACAATGGCAAGAAGAAAGTGAAAGGAATATTATTCAGGAAAAAGCTGTAGGTGTGATATATAGAGTATTATACTTCTGTTTCAGCAACTTTGGCCATAACATAGTTCAGAGCTGTGACTCACAGTTGTAAATATTTACCAGCAGTATAAGATGCATATTATCTTTTCCGTGATACTTACAGCATCCTCATACTTCTCTAGCTGAATCAATCTTCTGGCCTTGCGAATAAAATCCGCTTGTTTTGACTCAGTCAGTTGTCTGGCAAAAGAAAGAGGCAGAGTACTACAATAGAGTGTGTAAAATTGCATTTAAATGTGGCCTTTAATAGGTTAAATATACTGTACTATGAGGTACATTCATACTTCCACATCCAACAAGTGAAAAATAAACAACATATTGCTCTGCGTAACAGTTGCATAGGCCAGCAGTATATTGCTATATGCCACAGAAACAGAAGTGGTATGTCTTGGGCCATTGTTCAGTCTTGGTGCTACCGAAAGTAAAGTCACGTTATTGACTCACCTACTGTTAGTACAGGTCGTTAATTCACTTATTGTACTTACTGGTATGGGGTGAAGAGAAAAGACAAGGTTGTCTCCTTTTTCTGGGTCATTTTCGCCTATAACAAATGTATGTATCTCAGTTACCATAGATTACAGTCAAATACTGTATTACCATGTATATTAGCAATTAATAACTTAAGCAAGATACATAAAGCTCAGAAGTTAACAACTGTTACTGACCAACCTGCCAATAATAGCAACGATGCACACAGTCATACCTTATACTGCTGTAGTACTTGAATAGCATTAGTGTACATGCTTTCTGCCTTGAACTGGTCACTGTTGTTAAGGTAGGGATGAGGTAACACACCCTGAAGAGATACAAGTACAAATTAAGGTTATCATAAAGGCATAAATGTTGTATTTGGATTTACAAAAAAGAATGTATGACAAATGTGAAAACATAATCTCTAGTAACTGACTGATTTTCATTACCACCTAGGCGTACTTGCTAAATCCATCACTGACAACTTTGATAATGCACTAAACAGTTACATGCAACTTTATAATGAAAATGACTGCTTCCGTTGCCTTTAGTTTATTTCTGAACTTACAACTGAGTTGACAGGAATGGGCACACCAATGAGAGTAGCCATGAGGGGTGCAATGTCAGCCTGCAGAAAACAACAAAAACTACTCCTTGTAAGTAAATAAAGTCCAAACCTCATCATACATACTGATGCACTAATGATTGTTACTGTTGTTCTAGGTCCTGGATCTTACCTGGCTGACATCAACCCTACGGATGTGCTCCAGTTTCCAATCTGAAACAAACAAAAAAAACAGTATAGATTAAAATCAGGACTGAACGAAACAACAATGCATAGTGTAACATATTTTTAAATGAAAACTTTTGTGTTTTTCATAAAAATAAATTTAAAAAAAATCACTCTGCCTAATATACTGCCTGAGAATAAAAGCCCTTAGTTGGTGTAGGAGAACCTGGGTCGTAAAATGGCATTAAAAACCTGCTTGAGAAACAATTAATCACGGACCAATAAGCTCAGTACATGAGCTTAGCACCTTGTAGGTATCTGTCGTTGTATGGCTGGGGTTCAGTGACTCTCTGAGCATTATGAACTCCAGCTCCCCACACCACTAAAGGAGTGAGTGTCTCAGAGGGATGGCCTGCACCGTGGGAACCTGAAGACACAGTCAAGAAAACATGCACAAATAAAGTTATCCACATAGATGAACAAATACTATCAGGACTCCAATGAATATACTACATGCTGATAAACAGATAATGTTCGCACCTTTCAGACAAAAAGGTAAAGTCTTACCCCAGTTTGTCATGCCATGATCAGAGGTAAACACATAGGCTGTTTTGCCATCGTAACCAAAGAATTCATCAAATACAGAAACCATCTCAGCTACACCGGCATCTACTAGACCAATATTGTCTAGGTACTCCCTAAACAAAAGATAAATACAAAATTAATTTTTTGGACTTATATAAAGTGCAATAATAATACGTATGAAAGGCAGGAGAACAAAACAGTCATTGTCTTACTGTGACATTGGTCTGTGAGCATGTCCATTTGTGTCAATGCCCAGCAGATGCAGAAAAAAGACATTCTTCTCCTCAAGCAAACTGGACCTCAGACTGGAGTTAGACTTCGCTGACTGAAAAAATGACTGTTGCAGAAAGAGAAATATTTGTTTTATAAAAAAAAAAAATTGTAAATTCTCAAGGTAATAGCAAGGGAGTCTAGTACCAATAATATAAATTAACCCCTATTTTTAAATAAAGCTTGTAGAGAAGCCTCCCACAGTCAACTGTAACGATTCCAAGTGGCTTCACATTATCTGAGGTTTTGCTAAATAAAAAGCATTATTATTAGCAATTGAAATAAATAAATATAGACAGACAGACAGATAGATAAGGAAAAACTTGCCAACTTTGCTATATTAAGTGACAATAATGATGAAAGTAAAACAAGCAAATATTGCCTTAGTTACTATAAAAGCTCTGAGGATGTTTTTTATGAATCAGTCATGACTATATCTATCCTCAACAGATTCATTTTCTCAGTCATCATTATCTTTAGTACTTCCACTACCATACTTTGACTTGAGTGAACACCCAGGTGTCGAGTCTGGATGCATCTGTGGAGGCAAAGTCCTCCTCCTCAGCTGGGTAGGTGTGGGTATACACATGGTCTCCACTGGCACCTGGATAAATCACAGCATTGAATTGAGCTTAACTGTAAGAAGGTGACTTAAATGTAGTTTTATTTAAACAGTACTACACAGTGGTGTCATTAAACTTATGATTCTTATGTAAACAAAAGTGCTGTGTCATGCAAGTGTATGCTTGCGTACCTTTGGCAAACATAGGCAGAATATCAGGGCTTCCCCAGCACCAGGTGTATCTGCTTTCATTAAACACTGAGTCAAACTCCACAGGATTCTCCTTCCAGCCTGAACATACACAGACAAAAAGGTCAATACATTTTCAGTCAGAAACACACTCATACAAAAGCACATGAGACCTTTCAATAATCTTTCACACAGAGTTTTTTCTGTATTGGAATCATTAATATGCACAAATACCTACCTTTGGCAACAGCACTAACATCCTCATAGAAGCCAGCAATCAGAGCAACATGACCGGGCCGAGACTCAGTGGGCACGCGCGTGTGTGACACACCCCAGGTACCTCTCTCTTCTATCACACTCCTAATATTAGGAAACAACAAACATGACATGCACACACAAACACCAGTTACACAGGAGCAAAAGACCCTGTATAACAGTCTCACACACACACTTACAAAAAAAAAAACGTACTGGTTCCTGTACAGGATTAATATCAGACACCCAAACACACCACATCAATTTCACTACCTCAGGTATGGGGCTCTGGATGAGCCGTTGGGGAGTGGGGTGAACAAACTGTCTGTTCTGAGACCATCAGCCACCACTAACACCAGTCTAGAGGCAGGGGCTGGCAGTTTTGTGGCTTGGGGTGTCATGCCGTGGACCAGGGGAGATGTGAAGTAGATGTCAAAGATAGAAAGGAAGAAGACCATGTGGACTGCTAGTCCAAACAGGAAGAAGGTGATCATCTTCATTTTGAGTGTCAGCACCACACTGGATCTGCACATCAGCCAGGTAGAGTTACAGAGAATAGAACATTTCATGTGAAAGAAGGTGAAAATAAGAAGAGAGAAATAAAGACACAATAAAAATGACTAAGGAAAATATGGTCAAAAATTTTTAGGTTATACCGTTTAACCTTACAATAACCGAGATTAGTTCAAACATACCTCAAATACAGGATGTATTACTATTTGAAAGGTGCAGTATTTCTGTACATTTCTGTACAACTGCAGACTTATTTAGAATATCAGTTGCATCTTCAGGCCATGCAAAAAGTCTTACCAGTATGTAATGTCAGCGGAAAGCTATTATGAAAAAGACGAATTAATGAATGAACGATCAGCTAGCATTACGCACTTCAACTGATAGGCACACTGATTTTGTTTCCATTTTATCTTCGTAAATAACCTCACACATTAAGGCTTTGTCGAACGAAAACATATAAAAATAATATTTAGGTGCATATTAAAAAACAACTCTCCCTCTGTCTACGATCATTCAGCACCAAGAACATACACTTCCGTGTTTACAATCATGTTTTGACGTTTGACGTCGACATGTACTTTACAACTGAATTGTGGGTAGAGTAGTTAAAATATTTCTTTCTCAGCGATCTTTCTGTCACAATTTGCCTCTCTCAAAACGTTTTTAGTTTATGAAAAAATGCTCTGAGTTTCATTTATTATTTATTTATTTGCGTTACTGTGCAATTCCACTGGGAATGTATGTTTCGTTTACCTCAACTAGCATAGGCTATGTGCTCTCAAATATGTGCTGCCCAATTTCCCTTTCTGTATACGGTGTCCAATAATTCTCTAGTATCCCATAAAAGAGGCGGGATGTTGGCTAACTTCCTCCAAATTCGACCAATCATAGCTTCGAATTTTTTCTTCTTGTCAAAGCGACCTACCAAATTTTAGCTAGCTTAATATCAATTCAGCACGAAGCGCATATGATTACTTTAGCTAGCTTAGGCTGCTGAAAATCTTTATAGTGCAAAAATGGCGTCGGTCAACCCATTTAATGTCAGTGACTCCGAGGAAGAGGTTGAACGGCTCCCTAATGAAACGGTTCACACAAGGAGAAGCCCGAGTGATGGGGCGCCAGGGCCGCCGCCAGGCAATCCTTTCTCTCCACCTACAGAAGCCGACCGCCCGACGCTCCTGCTATCTGGCAACCGGACTAGCCCCAGCGGTGAGGGCATCTCGGCCGCGGCCCCTTCCGCTATGGCAGGGAATGTTGAGACACGGGTATCGGTTGATGTCATTGCTGCTCAGTTGTTACGAGACCAGTACATTCTCACGGCCCTGGAGTTTCATACCGAACTGTTGGAAGCAGGCAGAGAGCTCCCGAGGCTGAGGGATTATTTCTCCAACCCTGGCAACTTCGAGCGACAGAGCGGCACCCCGCCTGCCAAAGACCAGGCACCCGGACCTGGGGGACCACTGAGTAAGTAGCTGCTCCCAGTGCTAGTCAGTAGCTTTCAGCTATAATGTTCCAGTGTATAGGCATATTAATTTAAAATATTGGAGTTGGAAACCACTTGAACCGCTTGCAGCACCTGCCCTCTGGGTCTAGGGCCCACAGGCAACAGGCGGATTTTGTTGGTCAGCTGTGTTGGCTGACATACAGGGTAGAGCATAACAGAATCCTAGAAATGTGTGTAGGCTATACTACACTACTTAAGTGCTGGTAAAAGATGAGTGCGTGAAATTGTGACAAGCCTGTAATGATCAATGGACAGCGCTTTGTAGTGCCACGGTTACCGGTTGCAGAGCATGTATATTTATGGGTATGCATATTTATTTGAAAAGACACTTTTTTCTTAATTCCACAAGAGAAGCCTTGTACAACCTGCTTTTGCAATATTGCAGTTAAACCATGGTCAAACCAGTAAAACATGCTGGTAGAAATTGGTCTTGCTAAAAAAACACAGTAGGACAATATATAGGCTAAACTGGTTTTAAGTGGATTTGTTTCTACCAGGCCACTGAGATGAAAAAGTTAGGCTATATAAGTTCACTGGTCAAGGGTGTGTAACTGTTGGGCCCTATCCACTTAAAGGACTTTATCTTTATTTTTTTTTAACAATCTGCAGCCATGCATGTACCTGAAAGGTCTCTAGACCCATAAACAAACATACTCTGCAATCATCTAGCTGTCTATCTGTACAGGTATGTATGTATATAGACCTGTGTGTTTGTGCTAAACTTGATTTAACCAGGCAACATTCCACAGAGGGCAGCAGCCTCTCTTCAAGAGAACACC